GTAGCACGGAAAGCCGTAAAACTCTTGAACAAAAGCTCATCTTTCAAACTGGCAATCTAAATCCCACAGGTATCGACGAACGCTTTATTCCACTAATTTATTCGTGTTTTTCTCGTTGCCATGTTCCCACCAATAACGTAGCTCCATTTTCTGCCTTTAAAAGCACACACAACCCACAATTTCTCTATTCGCTCCGAAGAAGGGCTAACGCTCGAAACGTCAGCTTTTATAATCGTAACAGTGGCCAATTTACCATTTTAACTTTGTTGATATACTCAAACTATTTCGTTACCCCCACCGACGCAGCCCCAAACAGTTTCTTTAGAAACTATCAGCCTTTATATTTATTTAATGGCCGATATTGTGATGAAAAACGAATCGGGTCAGGCATATGATCCTCAACCAAATATTTGGGTAGTCGTTTATGGTTCGAAAGGCTACTATAATGACTTAGCGGTTAAAGATGTTTGGGATTAATGATACGATTTCACAAATAATAATGAAATCAAATTTAATGCTTCTCTTAATTTAAACAATCCAGTAAATCCTCAAAACCCAATTACTCTTGTTTTTTTTTAATAAATTAAAAAATATATTATGAAGCAACATTAAGGTTTTCATCATTTTCTAACTCACAAATTTTAAATGATAATTATCTTTTAGTTATTTCTAACCCAACTCGTATATCAAACAGAGGTGATTTTATAGTTGCCGGTCAAAACAATGAATATTTATCAATTGCTTCCAAAGGTTTTTATGTATTGTCATTGCAATATTTATATGTCTGTCTGTCTGTCAACATTCCGAAACAATAATGATGATCACAATACAACAAGATAATTTAAATCAACCACCATTATTTCAAACTGATGATACTCTGCCTAAAACTGATTCAATAGCTAGTGCTCGTAGTGTAACAACAATAAAAAATGTTCCACAAGATTAAAAAAAATTAAGTATAAAAATTCCCGTTCAAGCTCTTGTAGATTCCAAACTATGGAATTTATTATTGATAAATTAATGTAAACTATATAATATATGACCACAAAGAAAAAGAATATATTAAATTGGAATCACATATCAGACAAACAAACTGAAGACCGAATCAATCAGTTGAAAACCTTATACAGATTCTATCACAAGAAATATTGGATATATAAGACTATACATACAAATCTAAACAGGAAACATATTGCAAGTCAGGTCACATCTGTTGGTCTCGTCGTTATTGGAACTATTGCTGGTGGTGTTACATTAAATCCAATTATCCTCGGAGCTGTGTCTGGGTCTGGACTCTTATTAAAAGCATTCTTAGAATTGAAGGATTATAAAGAAAGATTGAGATGTGCAAGTTTGCTTTCACATCTTATGAAAAGATATCAACTGAATTGAGGTCAAATTTTAGGGGCGTAAATTTCGATGAACATTTATTTCTTAACTATGTTAAAGTAATTGACGACTTAATAAGAGATATGTGTCCATCAGCAAATAAATATTAAAAAAAATACGACTCAATATTCACTGATTAATAATTGAGTTGATTTCATCTCCAACTAGATTTTGTATTTGAGCCCAATACTTCTCATATTGTTTAATAGTTCTTTTTGATTTTGAAGATTGTATTTCATTTGGTAATAAATTCATCCTATGAATCAGCTTTCCTATGATAAACTTTAATAATAATAATAATAACAATAATGGTCTTTATTAAAAGCAATAATGCATCAACCGTGTCATTATTTACAAAGAATGAAATATAAAACAGATTAAGATAGAAAATACAACCAACTATTAATGGAAGACAATGCTAAAAAGACTTCTATTCACAAAAGTGGATTTAAAACATGAAGTTCGAACTCTAGGTAATATGTAATCATGGCCCCTGCTGCGTAATTGCCTAGTACGTCTCGGCGGTAAAAGATCATCAAGTGCATTGGTATTTGAAGTGATCTTGATCCATAGTTTGCTATCTCTGGTGGGTAAAATGTCACAAATACTATATTTCTTCAAACAATATCCAGACTTAAACGCCCTAGCAAACAGTTTGTCTATTCTCTTAAGATATTTATCATAATAACAGCAACTCCACACCTCGATACCGTATGTGAAGACTGAAATAATTAGGCTTTGGAAGAGCAGATCTAATTACTCCTTAGGGTAGCCATAAAATCTACAAACTCTTAAAATATACATACGACTGCTGGCCTTACCAAGCACGTGATCAATATGTGAGTCCCAGTTCACAGGGTCATCCTCAAAAGTAACACCAAGCAGCTTGAGCTTGGTTTTACGCTCCATAATAATGATAATAATAATCTAATATTTATATTGCGTAAATTAACATGTGGATATGATCAAATGCGCATCACAACACTTTTCGGGGGACTTTTGCCGGAGTGCATCAGCAGTTTACAAACAATCGAAGGAAACTTATTTGAAGATGCCCCCTCCCCCCAATTCCCAGTAAACAGGCCAGACCACATCACAGTAATCTCGTGAGTGGGTTCTTTAACGTCCCCTGCCTAACCAAATTAACTAATTAATAGATGCAGGAGACGGGACCTACGGTTTATTCGTCCTTATCCGAGAAGNGCTAAAATCAAATGAGAAGATCCGCACGAAGTCCGCATTTCCATCAAGCCACTTTAGCCAGTTATGCTGGGACTTCAATAGTGCCAGGGTAGAGTTATGTCCCTTTCGATAAGCAAACTGGTCTAAATCGATATTGTTAGCGCACACGATAGATAGTTCATTCCTATACACTAGTGTCTCAATCAGACGCATAATTATATTTGTTAAAGAGATGGGCCTTAGATGGTTACAGGAAGTAAATGGCAGTTCCTTAGGAGCCGGTCTAATATTCGCCTCCTTCCACAACAATGGAACTGTATGTTGCAGAATGGAGGCATTAAATACATCAGTTAGGATTGGAGCCAGGTAGTGCCCAAAGTCACGGAAAAGCCAATAGGGGAGATCATCAGGGCCCGAGGTAGTCCGCCTTATAATGTTAATTAAAGCTTGCGTAACCTCATACACCATGAAGGAGGGTACCATTGTGCCCTCTGGAATATTAAGCATCTCAGGGAGGGAGTAGTCGGGATCAGATATCAACTTTATTGATATCATTCTTTTTCTTGTACCAGTGAATTTTGGTTCAATATTATTGATAAGATCAAAGACTTTTATGATTTTTTCAATCTGATTTCTTGAATTCTTTTTTCATCATTAATATTATAAATAACCTTTTCAACAAGGTATTTTCTTTGATAAACTGATTTTCTTCAGACTTCATGCAGGTTTTCATGAAAATCAATGAACTTGTAATTTTCAAAATATGAACTATGGACTAATCCATATTTGATACAAACAAATAAACCATTTTTCAAACTAATATTTCGATTCTTACAGCATTTCTCTTCAACAGGTTCATTTGTTTTGATAACTTCATCACAGAAAGGAAAATGAGTTCTTTGATCATCGATCAATGCTAAGTGAATATTATAGTCACACATCTATAAAAATTTATCTTAATACTCCATCATTATCAAGTCCTCTCTCCCTATAAACAGTTTTTCACATAAGGTCCTAAAGTAAGTAAATTTTTTCTCGTTCCATCTATTCGTTTTTATTAGTTTTACATAACAATGATCACAAATTATCCAACACATATTACAAAATTGTTCATTTTCATTCATTTGTCTATGTAACCATTGAGTGCAATCACATTTTTCACAACTATAAATCCAAGCATCTTTCATTCCACACATTATATATAACTATATATGAAAAAAACTTTAAATATTTTCGAGATCATTTATCCATTCTCTAAATTCATCAATTAAATTAACTAAATTCTCATTATCTTCTAAATGATATTTAACATC